GATGTTACTTCCAGAAGCCTTGATAGCCCACAGGAACATTAGATGAAGCCACGTACTCAGCGGGATGTTGGAACCTTCGAAAAACCAGGTTCGAAAAGCCAGGTTCGACAGCGGCTGTTTGTACAGCATCGGTGGTGTGTCGGTAGTGTGTCGGCCGACACGTCGGTTGGATCAGATTCGTTACCTTTACCATGCTGAAGGTAAGATGTGACACCATTACAGATAGTACACACATACAGCAATTGGCAAAATTCTGAATGAATGTATATATTTTTTTTAATCCTTCAACTCCCAAAAGTGATTAAACTGTTACTTCTCCCTATAATAGCCAAACATGATCAACAATGGGAATACTAAAATTTATCAGGTAGATTAGTTGTATATATTATAACCTTGATTGAACACCAAATTCTTGTAACCAATTTACAAGGAAATGTGTAGCAGCTAGAGGAGAGAATTAACAATCAGATCTTGGGAGTTAAAGTGTTAATCTTTTCCTTGGTGTTGCCCTCCTGAATGGACCAAGGTTCCTATTATTGACAGTGTCTTGGTTTGTTGCTTACCATACACTCTTGGTTAGAGAAAAAAAATATTATTTAATCCTCAGTCATACAGGGTCAGCATATTAGCCATATTAGCCTTAAGGTTGAAAAATCTGATTGGTCAAGAACATTAAATCAACATCCAATAGCATGCGAAGTTGAAACAAAAAATGCATTGTCAGCAGCAGCTATATATATATATTGAATGCATCATGTCACGTTCAAAGTTTGCTTAGTTTTCAAGCCCCTCCTTGGTGTAAGAGTTCTCAAACTTTTGCAAACTCAAAAATATTTAAACAAGTATTGAATGTTACACTCGGACCCCAGCCAGTCCCCTCTCTACAGTGTGAGAGGAGTGCTCACCCCACCAGTACCACCTTATCTCATTTTTTTCCTGTTTTATTTGAAGTTTTTTCCCTTTTGTATTTCATTTCACTTTTTTAATGAACACTTTCTCTGTTGCCCTCTAGGAGTTTCTCTTGAGAGGATAGAAATTGGCCCAGTACTTCAACCCAAGTCAGCAAAAACGTTTTGGGGCAAACAAAAGTTGTAAGTATTACACTGAAAGTACATCTGTTCAAATTTGGAGAGAATATTTTGAGGATGACTTAAAAAAAATAATTATGCAGGTTTCTACTTAACTGTATTTTACCAGTTAGACAGGTCTTGAGCTACCCTTTCTGCCTCACCCCACAGGTAGACAGGTCCTGAGCTACCCTTTCTGCCTCACCCCTCGGGTAGACAGGTCCTTAGCTACCCTTTCTGCCTCACCCCAGAGTTAGACAGGTCCTTAGCTACCCTTTCTTCCTCACCCCACAGGTAGATAGGTCCTTAGCTACCCTTTCTTCCTCACCCCACAGGTAGACAGGTCCTTAGCTACCCTTTCTGCCTCACCCCACAGGTAGACAGGTCCTTAGCTACCCTTTCTGCCTCACCCCACAGGTAGACAGGTCCTTAGCTACCCTTTCTGCCTCACCCATGAGTGACCAACACAGACAAGTGATGAGAATAGAGTGTGAATGGATACTGGGATTAATTATCAGGGAAGCCTCAGATCAAATGCTGCAGGGAAACCTTGAGGTGGACTGGCATCCCAATCTAAGGAGGGGATG